GAAGGAAAGAGGGAGGGAGAGGGAGGGAGAGAGAGAGAGAGAGAGAGAGATCTAAACATAGGGCTTCAAATAAGACTAAAAATGGAGCTAATGGATGTTCACCTGGTTGTTTTTGGTACAGGGGATTGAACTTGGGACCTTGCACTTGCAAGGCAGGCAGCAAAACCACTGAGCTAAATCCCCATCCCTACCTGTTTTTTTCTAAAAATTACTTCTTAAAAGTTAATTTTGTTGGTATATTTCAGGTATAAAATATGACATTCATCATTGCAAATGTGCATCTTTACATATCTTGGTTCTTATTTTTTCCCCATTCCACTGCTCTCACTTCAACCCCTCCATGCCTGTCTATCTACAAAGACTCTGCTTCCATTTTTCCTTTTCTCATATTAATTCCATTTCCTTCTTTCCTTTCCCCCATTCCTCCTACTCCCTTCCCCTGTGGACCTTTTCTTCCTCTTTCACACTGTTACGCCTTTTGATCCTGATTTACACATTCAGTTGCTCACAGAAGATCTAACACTTACATTTTAAATTCTGGAAATTGCTGGTATTTCTGGAATTCTGCTTCCCACTCCTCTTGGCTTGTAGGTGGCTTCATCTCCTTTATTAAATGCCAGTCTACCATAGAGAGGCCAGACTCCGTCAACCTTAGGAGGTAATTTTTTGAGTGTATGATGCTAAATTAGTAATACGTGGTTTCCAGCAACAAGTAGATCTTAACCCCAATAAAAGTAAACATATAATTTCACTGTTTCCGCTTTTGATACTTTTACTCCTTAGAAGTTTGTGAGAAGCAGAGGCTGAGAAGTACAGATTTCTTTGCCCTCTTCCTTGCTCGACTTTTTCATTCAGCTTTCCCCACCAGCATTATTTGACAGGCAAAACCACCCTAAGTGTGTCCTAAATGAATAACCAGCTTTTTCTGCTTTTGTTTTTTGTGGTAGGGGTTGCATATGCCCCACCACTGAACTATACCCCCAGCACCTAACATTCTTTTTTAAAACTGTAATTATCAACACTTAATTTTACAAATTAGTGGGTTTGACTACAACACATGTATACACACATACTGTGGTTTGTGTCTGCTTTCCCTTCTCCCTGAGCTCTCTCTCTCTCTTCTCAGATAATCACTGTTCTTTACACAGGGAAAACATTTCTTACAGGTATACAGGTTTAGGTTCTCTGTGGATTTAAAGATAGTGATATTCCAATTTGTTGCTGTCATGTAGTTTCCTAAAACAGGACATATGGCACTTATGGTATATTGAAACAGGGGAATAAGAAAATATGGGAAACAGGCACTTCAGGAAAACCAGAAAATTGATCTAGAGGTTCACAACCTCTGTGGTGCACTACCAGGAGGGCCCCAGCAAGAATTTGCCATTTTCAGTGGAAAACAAGTGGCGGTTACTGGCTATGATGACCTTGAATCTTAGATCTGGATTTGTGGTACCTTTCTTTATAGTGAGACAGTAATTGTTTAAGAAGTAAGGATGTTCTAATTTATCCCCTTTCACAGATATGAAGAATATCTCAAGAGGTATAATCTCTTTGGAAGTACATCAAACTGTTGAATTCACATGGCATGCTAGGTATGTCTGTAAATAAACTGATGACAAAACAACAACACCAACCAAAAAAAAAAAAAACCAGAAAAGTAAAAGCAATCAAAAATGTCCCTAGCCTAAAAGCTAAGTTTAGGCCTTAGGCATAAATGTACAAGATAAACCTGGAATACCTCATGATACCAGCAAGCAAGGAAACAATCAAAATTAACTAGGGTCCTGTCAAAAAGATAAAGGAGCTAATTTCAAGAAACTCCTACTGACTAAAGATGGGACAGTTTAAGCAAATCATTTACATCATCACCACCATGCACTAAAACATATCAAATGTGTTTAAATCTATGAGCTTAGAATAATATTTAAAAACTCAAATACTTTGTTGCCTTTGGAAGATATTAGGAACTAATGTATTACTTTGAAAATTGGTAATAAAGGGAAAGAATCAAGTATTTGTCTTGCTTTTTCTGTAAAAAAATTATATCTTAGAATAACCAAATTGCTGATGAGGAAGTTTCTCTTTCAAACTGATAAATAAATATTTTAATAAATATTTTAATTTTGTAACTCTAGGCAATAATAATCAATAGCTGCTGAAGTTTCTTAAGAAACACTACATATTTGGGAATGTTCTAATCACCTATTAAGTGTTTTGCTCCTATATTCTTAATCTGAATCTGATTTAAGAATCACTTATTTACAGGGCATATAGAGGAGAATGAGACATGTTAAATCAGCAATATAAACAGCAAAATCCAGGATGTGTGCTGCTATAGAAAAATGACTTGATGTCAACAACAACAACAACAACAACAACACCACAGAATTGCAAAGAGGAAAACTGAAGGTTCAATGGAATAGATTGCAAGATACAGAAATAACTCCAGATGCACTCATCTTTGACAAAAGAGGCAACCATCCTCACTGGAGGAAAGATATCCTCTTTAATAAATTGTGTTGGAAAAACTGGATTTCAACCTGCAAAAGATTAAAAGTAGATCCTTATTCACCATGAACTAAACTAAAATCCAAGTGGATTAAATATTACAACAGAAACTCTAAACTTGCAGGAAGATAAGTTAGATGGAACTCTCAAAGACACTGGCATTGGAAAAGACTTTATGAACAAATCCTTAATAGCATGGGAACTAGCACAAAGAATCAACAACTGGGATCTCATTGTATTAAAAAGCTTCTGCACTGCAAAAGAAACCACCAACAAAGCTAAGAGACAACCTACAATGTGGGAAAAATATTTTACCAGCTATTCCTCAAAGGACTACTATCTAGAATATATAAAGAACTCAAAAAACCAAGCCCCTGCCAAATATAAAGACCTGATTAAAAAATGGGCATCTGAAATGAACAGACATTTCTCAGGCAAAAAAGTAACAGCAGCAAATAAATATGTGAAAAAATGTTCTACATCACTGGTCATTTGAGAGATGCAGATGAAAACAACACTGAGATTCCACCTCACCCCACAAAGAATGGCTGCTATCAAGAAATCAAACAATAACAATATTGGAGGGGCTGTGGGGGAGAAAGGAACCTTTCTCCATTGTTGGTGGGTGTGCAGACTGGTACAACCACTGTGGAAATCAATATGGAGATACCTCAAAGAACAAGGATTAGAGGTTCCATTTGACCCAGCTATCCCTCTGGTGGGTGTCTTTCCAAAAGAATTAAAAGAATCATACCACAGCAATATATGCACACCCATGCTTACAATGGCACAGTTTATAATAGCTACATCTTGGAAACAACCCATTTGCCCATCAGTAGGAGAATGGATAAAGAAGATATTTTTTTGCCAACCTATGGGCCTCCCTTTTAGCTGTGCCGTTTCCAGCGGGCCCCACTGATTGGCTCCGACACAGTGCCAGGAGGGTAGCCGCGGGTGTCGCTGAACACTGTCACACCGCACCCCCCTCACTCCCTTGTATTAGATCCCCTGATTGAGCCAGTCCTAAAATGCACTCTGCAGAGGCATGGTGGGCTATAAAGGGTGGTGACTGATCCTATTATGTTCCTGATTGTATCGATAGGGATAAAGGATAGGGATTGATTTGATGAGTTGTTTTCTCAATTATGAAAATGAGAATGGGATGCAATGATATCAGGAAGATTTAATGACCCAGAGATTGAATCAAGGGCAATCCAACAGCAAAAATAAAGATGAGAAAACACGCAATCCACAAAGACAGACTTCCAGTTCACCAATGGCAAACAGTAGGGCAAAGGAGGATGAAATATCAGATAGTGAACCTCCAGGACACTCAGAACTCACAGCACAGGAAGTAAAAAAACTGATCAATCAAGCTCTAGAAAAATTCAAAACAGAAATTATTTCCCAGATAACCATAGAGATGGTGAGCAAAATGAAAGACATGATTCGAGACTCCAGAACAGAAACTGACCAAAAAATAGATGAGCTTAGGAACATAATAGAAGCCATGAAGGCCCAGCATAAGAAAGAAATGGAAACAATGAACACCCAACATAGGAAAAAAATGGAATCTATTAAACAGATTCAAACAGATATCCAGGAGATTATTGAAAGTGTATGCAAAAGAATAAAAGATTGCGAAGATAGAATCTCAGATATAGAAGATAGGATAGCCATGACCATGAAAAGAGAGGTCTCTTAAAAACAGTAAGGGAGCATGAGAAATCGATCCAACTACTCCTAGATGATGCAAAGAATAACATAAGACTGATAGGAATCCATGAAGTACCAGGAGAAAATGCAAATGACTTAAAAAAGCTGTTCAAAGAATTAATGACAGAAAACTTCCCAAACAAGAGGGGAAGAATTAGACATACAGATAAGCGAGGCATGTAGGACACCAACTAGTCACGATAAAAGAAAAAAATCTACACCTAGACATATAATAATCAAGATCCCAGGAACCCAACAGAAGAAAAAAATACTACAAGCACTAAGGGGGGAAAAAAAAAATCACATGCAAAGGAAAGCCCATCAGAATCACAGCAGACTTTTCAACACAAACCCTCAGGTCAAGGAGAGCCTGGAGTGAAGTATTTCAAGTCCTAAAAGAAAACAACCTACAACCAAGACTGATGTACCTTGCAAAACTCTCTTTCAAAATGGATGGAGAAATAAGATACTTCCATGATAAAGAACACCTGAGAAACTTCATGAATATCAAACCAGCATGACAAGGAATTCTAAACAATATCCTAGAGAAAGACAATGAAGGTCACAACACCATGAGGCCCAACAGAGCAAATCAAATAGGCAAGCCAAGAAACTAAAAGGAGAGGGGGAAAAATTAAAAAGAGTCAACAAAAGGACAATAACATGACAATAATAAGTCAGTACATATCAGTTATAACCATCAATGTCAATGGCCTCAATTCACCAATCAAGAGAAATAGACTGGCAGAATGAATTAAGAAACAAAATCCAACAATGTTGTATACAAGAAACACACCTAGTGCAAAAAGAAGCCCAGAGACTGAAAGTGAAAGGATGGAAAACAATTCTCCACGTGACAGGAGCCCAGAAAAAAAGCAGGGGTAGAAATCTTATTCACAGACAAAGCAAATTTCAAACCAAAACTGATTAAGAGAGACAAAGAAGGCCACTACATCCTTGTAAAGGGAACAATCCAAGAGGAAGAAATGATAATCATAAACATATATGCACCAAATACAAATGCCCCCAACTATATAAAACAAATACTAAGTAACATGAAAAACCAAATAAGCACTAATACAATTGCAGTGGGGGATCTGAATACCCCACTATCACCAATAGACAGGTCATCTAGCCAAAAAATCAACAATGAAATACTAGAACTGAACCAAGCTTTTGAACGCATGGACTTATTAGACATCTATAGAGTGTTACCCCACAAAATCAGAATATACATTCTTTTCAGCTGCACATGGGTCATTCTCCAAGATAGATCACATACTAGCTCACAAAACAGGTTTGAATAAATGCAAAAGAACTGAAGTTATTCCCTGTATATTATCAGATCACAGTGCAATAAAGCTGGACATGTATAGCATAAGAAACCGTAGGAACTTCACAAACACATGGAAATTGAACAACACTCTCCTGAACAATCAATGGATCACAAAGAAAATCAAAGAAGAAATCAGACAGTTTTTACAAATAAACTAAAATGCCAATACAACATACAGGAATCTATGGGACACAATGAAAGTAGTTCTATGTGGAAAATTCATAGCACTGAATGCCCACATTAGGAAAACAGAGCAAGCTCAAATAAACAACCTAACAATGACTCTTAGACTCCTAGAAAAACAAGAGCAAGAAAAACCCAAAGCTTGAACAAGAGAGGAAATTATAAAGATTAGAGCCGAAATCAATGCAATGGAAACAAAACAATACAAAAAATAAATGAATCGAAGAGTTGGTTTTTTGAAAGAATAAATAAAATTGATAAACCCTTAGCAAACCTTATCAAAAAAAGGAAAGAAAAGGCTCAGATTAATGCAATCAGGAATGAAAAAGGCAAAGTCACAACAGATCCCACAGAAATCCAGAGGATCATTAATACATACTATGAGAACCTGTACTCTAATAAAATGGAAACCACAGAAGAAATGGACAGATTTCTAGATACTTATGAATTACCAAAGTTGAACAAAGACAAAAACATTTTAAACACCCCAATCACAATCAGTGAAATTGAAAATATAATTAAAAACTTACCAACAAAGAAAAGCCCAGGTCCTGATGGATTCACTGCTGAATTTTACAAGACATTTAGAGAAGATCTACTTCCATTACTCTTCAGACTTTTCATTGAAATTGAAAGAGAAGCAATACTTCCAAATTCATTCTTGGAAGCAAGTATCACTTTGATTCCCAAACCTGGGAAAGACTTAACTAAAAAAGAGAACTACAGGCCAATCTCCTTAATGAATATAGATGCAAAAATTCTCAATAAGATACTAGCAAACAGAATACAGAGGATCATCAAGAAGATCATACATCCTGACCAAGTTGGATTTATTCCAGGGATGCAAGGATGGTTCAATATATGTAAATCAATTACTGTAATACACTATATTAACAAAGGACAAGAACCACATGATCCTCTCGATAGATGCAGAAAAAGCATTTGACAAAATTCAACACCCATTCATGATAAAAACTCTGCAAAAATTGGAATAGATGGTCTATGTCTCAATTTAATAAAGGATATCTATGAAAAACCAACAGCCAACATCATATTAAATGGCCAAAAACTGAAAACCTTCATGTTAAAAATCAGGAACAAGACAAGGATGCCCACTATCACCACTCCTCTTCGATAACAGTTCTGGAAACATTAGCCATAGCAAGTAGACAAGAGAAAGAAATTAAAGCAATAAAGACAGGAAAGGAAGAAGTTATACTGTCATTATTTGCTGATATGATACTCTACATTGAAGACCCAAAAAACTCCACTAAAAGACTTCTCGACTTAATTGACACCTTTAGCAGAGTAGCTGGATACAAGGTCAACACCCAAAAATCAACAGCCTTCTTGTACACAAATAACAGACTCACTGAGAAAGAAATCAGGGAAACAATTCCTTTCACAATAGCACCCAAAAAAATGAAGTATCTGGGAATCAATCTAACAAAAGAAGCAAAAGACCTCTACACTGAAAACTACAGCACTCTCAAAAAAGAGATCAAGGAGGATATAAGAAAATGGAAAGATGTCCCCTGCTCCTGGGTACGAAGAATCAACATAGTGAAAATGGCCATACTACCAAAACTGCTATACAGATTCAATGCAATACTAATTGAAATCACAACACTATATTTCACAGAACTAGAAAGAAGAATCCAAAAATTCATTTGGAACTAGAAGAGACCTAGAATAGCAAAAGCCATCCTTGGCAACAGACACATGGCAGCGGGTATAACAATTCCCAATTTGAAACTATACTTACAAAGCCACTGTGATAAAAACAGCATAGTAATATAAAAACAAAAACACTAAACTTGCTGGAAGATAAGTTAGGCAGAACTCTGGAAGACATTGGCATAGGAAAAGACTTTATGAACAAATCATCAGTAGCATGGGAACTAGCAGAAAGAATCAACAACTGGGATCTCATCTTATTAAAAAACTTCTGCATTGCAAAAGAAACCTCAAGAGAACTAAGAGACAACCTACAATGTGGGAAAAACTTTTTACCAGCTGCTCCTCAGACAAAGGACTATTATTTAAAATATATAAAGAACTCAAAACAACCAGCCCCCCCAAATATAAAGACTCAATTCTAAAATGGGCATCTGAAATGAACAGCCATTTCTCAGACAAAGAAATAAAAGCAGCAAGTAAATATATGAAAAAATGCTCCACATCACTGGTTATTCCAGAGATGCAGATGAAAACAACACTGAGATTTCACCTCACCCAACAAAGAATGGCTGCTATCAAGAAATCACACAATAACAAATGTTGGTGTGGTTGTGGGGAGAAAGGAACCTTTCTCCATTGTTGGTGGGAGTGCAGACTGGTGCAACCACTATGGAAGTCAATATGGAGATACCTCAGAGAACTAGGATTAGAGGTTCCATTTGACCCAGCCATCCCTATGTTGGGTATCTTTCCAAAAGAATTAAAAGAATCATACTACAGTGATATATGCTCACCCATGTTTATAGCGGCACAGTGTGTAATAGCTAAAACTTGGAAACAGCCCAACTGTCCATCAGTTGGAAACTGGATAAAGATGTGGTTTTTCTATAAAATGTAATACTACTCAGCCATAAAGAATGAGAAAGTAGATTTATTCATAGGTAAATGGGTACATTTTGAGGATATACTCCTAAGTGAAATAAATAAGTCACACATATGCAAATACCGAATAGTTTCTCTAGTGTGAAAAACTACAAGAGTACTCAAGATCCTAATGGGACAATTAGCAAATAGGAAGAAAAGAACCAAAGGTGTAGGGACAGTGAGAAGGATAGGGAAAGGGGAATAAGGGAAAAGGAAAAAAATATGAGAAAAGGGACAAGGGGAAAAAATGAGAACCAATACCTGGCATGTAAAGGTACAAGATCCCAGTAATGAATTAACTGTACTGCCTACCTAGAATGTACCAATAAATTAAATTTAAATAAATAAAAAAAGATATTTTTCTATAAAATGGAATACTACTCAGCTATAAAGAATGAGAAATGAGTCATTTATAAGAAAATGGATGCATATTGAGGACACATTCTTAAGTGAAATAAATAACACTCACATGTGTAAATACCGAAGTTTCTCTGGTGTGAAAAACTGAAAGTGTAAATAAGATCCAAATTGTATAAATGATAATGTGAAATAGGAAGAAAAGGGCTAAAGGTGTAGGGGAAGTGGGAAGGGTAGGGGAAAGGAAATAAGTGACAAGGAAAAAATGGAAACAAAGTCTTCATAAATAGGAGAGGGTGCAGGGGGTGAAGGGAAGGCAGGGGTATGGGGAAAAATGAGAACCAAGATCTGATATGTAAAGGTACAAGATCCTAATGATGAATGTAACTGTACTATATACTTAAAACGTACCAATAAACTCAATGAAAAAGAAAAAAAAATTGCAAAGGGGGAGGAAAGGAGTGCTTGACTCTATAAAGTCTGTTCAGAAACTTAAAATTTTAGACACGAATCAACAGTGATAGATGGAACTGTGAATATATTGGGATTAATTCAAAGAAACCGTGAAAAAAGTTCAAATAAAATTGAGATGGGGGAGTAAACTAAGAAAGGGAATTCACTGAAGAGGGAAACACAAACAATTCAAAGCTGCTGGTTAAGACTTACACCATCTTTATAAGAGGCTCCTAGTTATAACATACTAACCTGTTTTATGGCAGGGAAAGCCATCAGATACAGTCCCTCATTAAAGCCTTGGTTTCTCCATCTGTAAAATGAGAGAGCTACACTAGATGATCCTTAAGGTCCCTTTCCCCTCAAGCATCCTGTGCTTCTAATGATCCAAATACCTGACTCATTACATGCAAATTACTCACCTAGTTACTCCACCAAGAATAACCGCTCCAGCCACTGTTCCACTGCAGACCAGGAGCCATCGGCCCACTACTCGGTCAGCAGCCTTTGTGGGAAGGGACACTGTACCCTTTTGAGACTGCAAAGCCACTTCAGTGATGGTGCTGTATTGCCCTGGCCTCAGAGGGCGCCTGATGCCATAGCTGCAACCACACTAAGGATCAAAACAGACAATTACAACTGAAGAAATAGGAAAAGGCTGCCACCCACACTCAATGGCTGCATCTCCACAGCTACTGCTTTGATAAATCATCTCATTTGGGCTACTGCATCCACCTTCCAAAATGGTTCCTGCCTCAAGTCGTGCCTCATGCCAATTCGTCCACATACATCAATTTTCTGTTCTATACACACTTTCCCAGATTTCACTCCACACACAGACATTGCTAACTTTCTTTCTTTTCTAGGTATTTTAAACTTAATTTCTCTCTGGAGTACTTCTTGTTCCCTGATTGATAATACTATAGACCTTACTGACTACACTTCCTCCAGGAGTATCCCAAACTCTGCAGTCTGCAACAGATCACTCACAGTCCATAGCACTACTCCATCACAGTTCTTAAAACACTGATTTGCCTCTCACTAATCTAGGAGACCTGGATGGCAGGGTCTGATCAGTCTTAACTCTTATCTTCCTGCTATCTTTGTTTCTAACATAGTGCATAACATACATAACCAAACCTTAATAATTAATAAATGCACTGTAACTTCCAAGGAGGAAACTCTGTAGTATTTATCTTTCTCTTTCAATTTCCTAACATATAATAATTTCCCAACAATTGTTAGTTAAGTGAATACGTGCCCTCTTCTGGCTATATCTGTAAAACAATTAAATTCAGTTTCTTACTTCTCAGTAACTTTAGACAATTTAAATTAGGTCTCTATTGTTTTTTTCCTTGCGAGTGTCTCACTATGTAGTTCAGGTTGGCCCCCATCTCGTGGTGATCCTCCTGCCTCACCCTCCCAAGTGCTGGGATTACAGGTGTGCACCACTATGGCCGGCCTCAATTTCTTTTTCTGTACAATGGGTTTTTAGAGAAGTTCCTGATTACATGGGGGCTTTTAGCAAGAATCAAATATGCAGTTGAAAAATTCTGAACGTTTACCTTGCCCTAAAGTTTCGATGCATATTATTTAATTCTCATAATTTTACTAAGTAGGTACTGCTATCCCCATTTTACAGATAAAGCAACTGTGGCGCAGAAAGGTTAAATAATGTGGCCAACGACACAAAGCTAGCCACAAGCGATCTGAATCTAAACGAGAGTCGCTCAGGACACACGGAAACGAAATGTAAGGCCCTTAAGTAGCAGGAGGAGGAGCTCTCCAAGATCTTTATCCTGGCCCTTTGGCCCCATCCTCCTCCGTGATGGGAGTCCGTAGCAGTTAAGTACCTGTGCTTTGGGAGCCTCTCTAGGAACCAGGAGCCGTACACACCGGCTCCCCATCAAGGCCTTCAACGAAGGAAGGAGTAACCGCTGCATACTGAGAAAACACACTGCTGCTACCTAGAAGTCCCACTGCTCTGGCGTCCCCTCTCTCCTCTACCCAAAGAAGAACTTCCGGGCCTCCTGGGCGGGAAGCTGGCGATTGCGCTTGCGCGGGGTCGCGGGAGCGCGGGCGTCTGGGACGCTCAGGTCGCGCGCCGCC